CCGGAAAGAGCTAGGCCGCAGGCCCTGAGTCACCAGGGAAAACCGGATCCGTTTCCGGCACATTCCCGGAGAGGCCAGAGGTTCAGCAGCAACCATGCTCGCTCGTTCATCGCCCCCGGGCCTGGAACACCCAGGCCTCCCAGGCCCAGGTCATTCCCTCCGAGGCCTCCCAGACTTGCTCTTGGCCACAGACGACCCCTGCCTGCGCTCTCAGCAGCAGACTGAAGACCAGAAGCACCCTCGACTGGTTGCATGCTGTGCTGCCATCTGAAATTCTTAAAGCCTTTTGAACAAGGGGCCCGCATTTTCCTGTCGCACTGGGCCCCACAACTTGCAAGGCACAGCTCCTTGCTTCCCACAGACACCCCTGGGGTCTCTGACCCTGGCAGGCTACCCCACCCTCGTCTGTCCCCCTGAGGCAGGCTCTGAGCCCACTACCCAGGGAGGCCCGTCCATGTCCTCTGAGAGCCTCGGTCTGCCCAGGCCTCCAGGCCAGAGGCCCCAGAGAGCAGGGGAGGGCCACCATCAGCCACAGGTCTGCCCATTTCAGGGGGAAGGTGGCGAGGAGGGCACTGCTCCCCTCGGGGAAGCCTGCAGGAAGTTGGGCAGGATTTCCAGGCAGCAGCAGAGGGGCGGGAAGGCCAAGGGCAAGGCCAGAGACAGACCCACAGTGGGAATGAGGGCAGTGCCTCCCACCGTGTCCGGGTTGCGTGCTCAGTCCCCAGTTGGGGTGTGTAGGAGAGGCAACTGCTCCATGTTTCTCCCTCACGGGTGTCTAGCCTCCCCCTTCCCCTCCCCTCCTCCCACCCTCCCCCTCTTAAATAAAAGCTTTAAGGAAGAAAAAAAAATGCTGACAGTTCCCCCAAAGGCTCTCCCTCTGGGGCTTAGGGAACAAGCAAGTAGAACCGAGTTCAGATAGGGAAGTGCCTCGGGACCAGGCCTTGGGTCCCACGGCCAGCTCTTCCTTCGAAACATGCTGACTTGGAGGGAGGTGGCTGGCCAGCTAGACGGCCAACCATCTCTTCCAAACCATGCCTGGCAGCACCCTGGGGGACCCCCTCGTCCACTTTCAAGAGAAGTGACAAAGCTCCTCCAAAGAGAGGGTCCTCAGCAGTGTTCTCCATGTCCCCGGGGACTATGCCTGCCTCCCACCCTCCCACCCATCCTTCTGTCCATCCATCCATCCATTTATCTGTCCATCATCCATCTATCATGCACCCACCCGCCCTCCCACCCACCACCCATGGTGGTTTAACTGTGACCCACTCCCGGGAAGGAAGGAAGGGGCGCGAGGGGAGAAGATCCCGGGAACTGGGCCTGGCGTGGGCTGAGGGAACAGCAGTCCTTCCCCGGGGCTGCCGAAGGAGGGGGTAGCCGAGCTCCCCTGAGTGGCTGGGCTTGTGGGGAGGCGGGAGGAGGAAGGAATGGTGACCCTATTCTTAGTTACTCAAAAGGGCTGCCCTGGGTGGGGCTGGGGGGGTCACTCCATCTGGGCAGTGCCAGGTGCCCAGTGAGGTTGAAAGGTCAGATTCAAACTCAGGTTTGGCCACGCCTTCGTGTGACTGTGGGCGAGAGACTCTGCATTGCAAAGCGTCAGCTTTACTGACTGCCGTGTGCAGATACTAATGGTAACAATGAACACGCGTGGAGACCTCGCTCCGTGCCTTCTCCCAGGAAGTCACACACGTCACCTCTTTTTGTTTCTACTGGTTTCAGCCCCATCCTGCTACTGCAGCACCTTTATTATCCCCAGCGCCCAGGTGAGGGAACGCGAGGCTCGGTGAGACCGCATCACACGGCCACAGCAGAGGGCGGAGCCGGGGCTGGAAAGCAGACTGAGGGCCACATGGCTCCTGAAGTCCTAACGTGAGGGTGAATCAGATGACAGCACAGTGACAAATGACCTCAAATCTTTACTAGGACACAGTGACAGCCAAGTTTAACCAGCTGAATGTTTGCTCGAAAGGTATATATTTTAAATTTCTATAATTCTGAACTTTTCCGAAGATATGTTTATGTTCCTGATATCAAACCTAATTGCAATGTGGTCGGAGAATGTGGTCTGTACGATTTCAGTCCTTTCCGACGTGCCGAAACTTGCTTCAGGGCCTATGACGTGGTCAGTTTTTCAAATGTTCCTCGGATTTGAGCGCAATGTGTCTTCTCCAATCCCTGAGCTTCCTGCACAATGTACACTGCGCAGGTCACCCTTGTTCTTCTCTGCCCGAGAGGAAGTGGGTCCCACCCACACCCTCCCCCCAGCAGCCGTGGTGGACTCTCCAGCTGCTCCTTGAGGTTTGTCGACTTCTGTGCCTTGAATACTTGAGGCTATGTCATTAGCTGCAGGCAAGTGCAGGCCTGTTACGGCTTTACCAGTGAACTGGACCTCCCACCGCACAAGGCTCTTTACCACTAGTCAGACTTTAGATTTAGAACCTATTCTGTCTCCTCATCACGTAGCTTTGCCAGACTTCCCTTGGTGGCAATTTGCCGGGTGAATCTCTCTCCATTCTTTCTTTTACTTTGATCTTTTCCGGTTCATTAGGTATGTTCTTTAGAAGCACATAGGAGAACCTCACTTTTATTTCATTTGATCTGACAGTCTTTATCTTTTAACCATTTTAGTCCATGTATATTTAATTTGGTGAATCATACATTTGGGTTTATTTCCACCTTTTCATTTTGTTCAAGTTGTTCTGTTTCTATTCTTCTGCTTCTGTTTTCTTTATTTTTTGCCTTCTTTTGTATCGATTGGTTTTTGTTCCCTCATTTCATCTTTCCTCTCAGCCTGTGTGGAAATCACAGACTCTATTTCTCTTCCTTTTGTGTCTTCCCTAAACATTTTAACATGACTCTGTAACTCGACGAAGTTTAACGTTAATCGAAATATTTATTCTCCTCTCAATTCAAAGGTCTTAGAACACTTCGATCAAAACACTACCTGACAGATGCCTTTTGTGTCCATTACTGTTGGTTCTATCCTTTCTTAACTCCGCAAGTTCAAGTTATTATGGTTTGACTCAGTCAATGACAAGAGCTACTCTATGTTCGAAAAGTGCCCTCTATTCCTTTTCGGTATGACAGTCCTTCCTGAAGCGCGTTACGCTACATCGCTAGGACTGACCTAACCCAGGACCGCCAACCGGGAAATTCCTAACAACAGGAATTTCCTTTCTCACACATCTGGGGGCTAGAAGTGCAAGGTCAAGGTGTGGGCAGGGTCAGTGTCTCCTGTGGCCTCTCCTTTAGGCTTACAGATGGCCATCCTGTCCCTGTGTCTTCCCATGGTCTACCTTCTGTCTTTGTCTGTGTCCAGATTTCCTTTTCTTATGAGGACACCAGTCCTACTGGATCCAAGTCTGACCAAGAGACCTCGCTGTAACTTAATCATGTCTTTAAAGTCCGATCTCCAAATGCAGGGACATCCTGGGGTCCTGGAGGTTAGGGCTTCAACATGTGAATTCAGCCCATAACACACAATATATAAAGTAATCTGTTTTTATCTGTCTGAAATGTCCTTATTTTCTCCATCTTTTTGAAAGGTATTTTTGCAGGGTTTTTACTTCTTCGTTAATGGTGATTTTCTCTCAATGCTCCTAAGATGTGACTTCCCATTCAGCTTCCACGTTCGTCACCGGGATACCAGCTCTGAGTCTGTGGGGTTCCTGTGAAGGTTCGGTGAGCTGGCCCCTTGAAGGCAACAATGAGGCTGACGTGGGCCCTGGTGAAAATGGGTTTGACACCCCTGCTGTAAAGGTTCAAGGTCACAAAATCAAAACACTAAGGACAACCAGTCACAAACAAACAAATAGTTGTCAAGTTACAGCCAATCAAATAATTTCCTCTCTTTGCTTCTGTGCTTTCTCTCTGAAGTCCGTGCCCTGGCTGGGGGCAGGGAGTGGGGAGAGAGGACCGGTGCTCCTACTGCATGACTGCAGTGGGAATCGATTTTTGCTCAAACTCTTAAAATTCTTAATATGCCTGAGTTTATTTTTAACAGGCCATGGTTTCCCACCTCTGGCCAATCACCTGGAGATGAAGAGATACCGGAGCTTCTTCCAGGAGCTTCTGACTCACACTAAAACTGTAATAAAAATCAGCCAACACTTAGCAGGAACTTCCTTGGGTCCAGGCACCGAACTAGGGGTTTTACAAGTTTGTCTCAGTTTATGGCTTCACAGCCATGGGGGGTAGTTGCTATTATCGTCTCCATTTTACAGATGAGCAAAATAAAGGAAAAGCCAAGTGGGGGGGGGGTTCTTAGGAGTTTATTCAGTCAATTAATAAGGAGGGGTGGAGTTCAAGTCCCAACTCTCAGAACCAGCAGCTACAGACCGCGCTCTAGATAACCGCGCTTCAGAGGGCTTTTGAGGGGACTTCTGGTGATTCTAATAACCAGCCAGCTTTGAGGAAGGCAGCCCAGAGGCGCATGACACTCTCAAAGGGTGCATTTGTCTGAGATGAATGTCCCATCCCCCTTCGGTGCTTCTGGAAAGAAAACGGTTTAGGATCAGCTGTCTTTCTAAACACAAAACAAGCAGACTTCTCAGCGGCATTTCCCAGCTTTCGGGAAACGCGGAGCGTACTCAGCAAACTTCCAGGTCTCACACTTTGATCCAAACTGAGAACTCAGGCCGAGGTTCTGTACACCTGGCACTTTGTGTCCCGCCCCGTTTCGCAAAATTTCCAATCCAAGGCCCGTTCGTTGAGACTGACGTAATGACAGACCAATTACAATTGTCCATAGCAAACGGCTGTTCCGCCTCCCAATGGCCCCGCCTCCCTTTCATTCTGAAAGAAAGAACCTCGGCCCAGCGGTCCAATGAGAAGCGCCTCCACCCTAAAGATCCAGCCTCTTTCGGCTTCGACCCCGCCCCAAAAGCCGGAGGGATGCCCGCCTTTCGGCGTGGTGCTGACCAATCAGAGGGCGCGTTCGGCCGTATGGGAGGCAGACGGACCAATCCCGAGGCTCTGATTCGCGTCGCACCGCCCCTCCGCCGGGGCCAGGCGGCGGGCGAGAGCGGGCCTCCGGGCGGCGGCGGCGGACGCGGCCTGAGGGAGCGGCCGGCTGCCGCGCGGGGCTCGCCTCGCCCGCGGCGGGGTCCATGGCCTGAGCGGCCATGTCCGGCGTGGTGCGGACCCTCAGCCGCTGCCTGCTGCCGGCCGAGGCCGGCGGGGCCCGCGAGCGCAGAGCGGGCGGCAGCGGGGCCCGTGACGCGGAGCGCGAGGCGCGGCGGCGCAGCCGGGACATCGACGCGGGGCTGGCCCGCGAGCGGCGCGCCGTGCGGCGCCTCGTCAAGATCCTGCTTCTGGGCGCGGGCGAGAGCGGCAAGTCCACCTTCCTCAAGCAGATGCGCATCATCCACGGCCGCGAGTTCGACCAGAAGGCGCTGCTCGAGTTCCGCGACACCATCTTCGACAACATCCTCAAGGTGCGTGCGCCCCCGCCCTCACACCTGCACCCGGGGGCGCCCAGGGCCGCGCGGGGGCGGCCCCGCGGACCTCCGTGCGTGGCGCGGGCCGCGGCCGGCCCCTGGTCCGCCCCGAGTCGGTGCCCTGGGCTGGAGGCAGCCCCCATCCGCGGCCACGTACCCCCGGCGTCGGGGGAGCCGGCCGAGGATGCGCACCCAGCGCGCCCGCCGTCCTGACGGCCTTCGCCGCGGCCCTGCCAGGGGGCTCGGGACGGTGGGAGCGGGAAAGCGGGCCAGCCTCGGGGGGCTGGGAGGGGCGGGCGGCCTCGGGGGCGGGCAGGGCCGGGGACCGCGGTTCGGGACGCGCCCCTGCGCGCTGGCAGCTGCGCGCTCCCGTGCCCGGCCCGGCCCGGCCCTCCCAGCGAGTTCAGAGGCGCGCCGTGAACTGGGGAGGAAGCTGGCCGCAGTCCCTCCTCCTGAACTGTTTATCCGGAACATTTCGAACACGTTCCAAGTGGAGAACATTAGGGCGCACTGGACGTGCCCGTGGCCCCCTCTGGCGTCCACGCTCCCTCCGCGACCGTCAGGGCCCGTCCCTTCACCTGTGCCCGCGCCGGAGGTGCGGCAGCCAAGTCCCCTGTGTAATCATCCATTGGAAAGTGTGTTTGCATGTGGCCCGGACACATAAGGCCTCTTGTATCAGACGCGACCGCAGTGTCCTTGTCAAACCTAAAAACACGTGATTCCTCAATATCATCAAACATTCAGCCAGGATTCCGAATCCTCCTGTTGAACAATTGCGTGTCTCGAGTGCTGTGCAACCTCCAGGCTCCCCTTCTGTCTCCTGCTCCGTTCTCGTTCTTTACAGTTTATTTGAGAGAGAGGGGGCGGGGAAAACCTGTGCAGTTCACACAGTCTGGGTTCTAGTTTCTCCCTGTGAGCCTGCGCCCCAGAGAAGAGGAATCTGGAGACCGGTGATGGGAGGTGGGCTCCTGCACCCAGGTATGCTTATTTCCCTTTCTAGAAACCCCTTGTCCGCCCCGGCCCGCACCGACCCTCTCCCAGGCCGGTGCTGTGGGAGCCACGTTACAGGTGGGAGGAGAGTTGTCTCCGGGCAGAGGTAGAGGAAGGCCGGCCCGCCAGAAAGCTGCCCGGAGACTGGATTTTGCAGTGCCCGAGGGACTTTAAATTTAGCAAAGGGTGGAGAAGCCATCTGGAACATTTTCCCTCCTTCACCCATGAGGAAGCTTCCGGCCCTGGAGATGAAGTGGCTCCTGGCTGGGCCCTGGATGCCGGGCCCTGGGCTCCGAACTTGCAGGCCAGCCCCAGCACTCCGACCCGGGTCTATGAGATGATTTTGTCTTAATAGAAATGGCCCTTTTAGGATCAGGACGGGAAGCAGATGATTTGAATGATAACCAACACCACCACCACCCCCGCCCCCCATCCTTTTCACCTCTTTCAAAAGCCTGTGAGTCAGAGCTCCGGCCCAGTACTTCAACTTTAAAGGCGAGGTGCCCAGGGTGATTCAGGGGATCGGCTGTGTGTTTAAAATTCCCCTCGTCTTCTGGGGTAAAGTGCATGTGATTGTCTTTCTGAGCCGCTGGGCCAGATTTTATTTTTGCTGCTTTTGTGGCCTCCAGACCAGGCAGGTAGAAGACCATAAAGATTTGGCTGACCATCTCCTTGTTTCTTTAAACTCAAGAGGCAGAGAGAATATTTTGAAACAGAATCTGAAATCAAAAATCAGTTCAGTGTTTAAGTGCGTTTTAGAAAACTCAGTTTTAAGCTTTTCCTAATGCATATAAACATTCAATTTTTTACTGACTTTCCTTATCAACAGAGCAAGATGTTTAAACCAATACCATTTTCCCCAACCTTCTCACTAATTGTAGTTTCATGTTAAACTCACTTTATCTGCTGTGGCTATTTCAATTACTCCCTAGAAACCCAGTTTCACTCTAAGCAAAAATCACCCTGCCCATTCCCGGACGGGTCACTTCGGGAAGAGACTTGTTAGTGAATGTGCTTTGTCGTGGCTCCAATAGTCACATTCGTTTGTTGCTCTTCAGGACAGTATTTGTGTCTGAAACACGTTTAATGTTAACGGGCTGTTTGTGAAGCACCGGCTCTGAGCCACACGCACTGCCAGGCCCTTCGCACACGTGACATGTAATTTTCATAACACGCAGGGTGGTTTTGTCCCATGTAGCTGATCAAGAAGCTGAAGGTAGAGAGTTTAAAATCTGCTCGAGACCAGCTACCGAATTAGTAGGTGGCAGAGCTGGGCACCAAAGATAGTCTTTTTGTTTGTTTGTTTGTTTTTTAATTGAGCTTTTATTTTCGAGGTAATCATTGTCCTGTGCAGTTGTAAGCAACAGTGTCCCTTCTACCCGGTCACCCTGCATGGTAGTGTCTTATAAAACTGTAGTACAGTGTGGCAGCCCAGATATTGGCATTGGGAAAGCTATAGAACATTCCATCCCCACAGGATGCTCAAGTCGCCTTCGATGGCCACTCCCTACCCTCACAGTGACCGCTTATCCGACTGGATAATCTTGCCGCTTCAAGAATAGTATACAAATGAAGTCATGCGAAATGTGGCCTTTGGGAAGTGGCTCTTCAGTCCCTCAGCGGGACTCCCTGGGGAGTCACCCAAGTTGAGTCATGTATCGGTGATCAATAGTTCGTGTGTTTTGATTGCTGAGGAGTATCCACAGTGTGAATCTCCCACGGGGCACATGTAACAGTCACCCGGCCAGGTACAGTGGGCTCTCTCCCCGACCTGCCTAGTTTGAACAGACCTTCTGTGAGCGAGATATGGTATGTCTCCGTGTACACTTCGGCGGCCTGTGTCAGTCAGTGTTCCGTAGAAACTCAGAAGAAAGTTCGTCGTCTGGGGAACTGCCCTGTGCGCTCTTCCCTGCTGGCGGGCGGCGGGCGGTTCACTCCTCTGCGCCCTCGTGGGTCAGTGGCTCTGTCAGTGGCCAAGAGGGAGCTGTTGACCTCTCCCGCTGAGCCTTGAATAACACAAGGGTGCAGGGTGCTGATCCTCCACAGGGTCAGAAATGTGTGTGAAACCTGCAAGCCCCCCCCGCCCCCAGCTTAGCTACTGGTAGCCTCCTGCTGACTGGAAGCCTTACTGGTAACAAAGTCAAGTAGCACCCACTTTGAGTGTTATATATGTTACATAGTGTTTTCTTACTATAAAGTAAGCCAGGGAAAAGTAAATATTAGGAAAATCACAAGGAAGAGAAAGTGCACTCGAAGTGTATCTTGATGTATCTTGAAAAATTCCGCCTGGAAGTGGATTCGTGCAGGCCACCCTGTGTGCTCAGGGGTCAGCTGTGTGATGGTCCATTTGGGCTGTAGCTCAGTCAGTCTTTGCCTCGGGCAGTTTGAGACTGTTGTGTGGTGTGGAAACACTTAGGATTGTCTTCTGGGGGGAGTGGTCCTTTCATCACTCTGTCCCTCTTTGTCTCTGGTGATTTTCTTTGCTCTGAAGTTGGTCTCTTCCAACATTGGGACTTTGGCTCCTTCCAAATGCTTTCACGGTATGTGTTTTCCATCCTTTTACTTTCAACCCACTGCCGGTGTTGTTGTGTGAACTGAGTTTTTTTCTTTTTTAATATCACTGTGTGGTTGCCTCTCACACGTCCCCTACTGGAGACCTGGCCCACAACCCAGGCGACCCTTTGGTTCGTAGGCCTGCACTCAATCCAGTGAGTCGCACCCGCCAGGGCTGAACTGGTGTTTCTTACAGATGGTATATCATTACATTGTATTTTCTTGATCTACTCTGGTCATCTCTGTCAATTAATTTGTGTATTTAGACCAGTTACATTTAACATAAACTAAGTATTAACATGTCAGGGCATAAGTCTTATTTTATTATTTTGGGGGTTTTGTTTTATTTTGGTTTCTGTTTCTTATGTTCCATTGGGTTATTTAAGTGTGTTTTAGGATTATATATAGTCTTTAATCCTTGACCGAGGATCTGTTTTAGAAAGGGAGGAGGGGGGAGAGAGAGAAACATCGATATGAGAGACAAACTGGCTGCCTCTTAAACGCACCCCAGCCAGGGATCAAACCTGCAGCCTTTTGGTGTACAGGACAACGCTTCAACCCACGGGGCCACCCAGCCAGGGCAAGATTCTATCTTCAATTGATTGATGATTGGTTTTTTAGGATGTCCATCAGAGCTCTGTATCGCTTCCTTGGTGGTCGCTGTAGTTTTGCAGTTCACGTATGTCACTAACCCCGGTGTGCTGAGTCTGTTTCACAACCGTGAGTGACGTCTGGAAGCCACTCCCACTCACCTCCCTTCGCTCCCACACAACCCGGGTCTGAAGGCCCGAAGCGTTTCTTACACGTGGAGTGCCGTGCCGTCCATTTCACTTCGGTCACCAAATGGGAGTTAAAAATCCCACGGAAAGTAGGACACAGTGTTCCGTGTACCCTTGTCTCCCTGTCCTGATGGTGTTCTTTCCTTCCTGAAGGGACAGGCCGCCTGTCCCTCTCCCTTCTGTTTGGAAAGCTCCCGGCGGCCGTTCTGTCAGTGTGGGCTTGCTTGCAGCCAGCCCCCGCGGCTCCGCTCCACCCGAGGGTGTCGGTGCCTCCCTGTCTCCTGGGGGGCCGCCCTGGCCGCTGCAGAACTCACACCGGGACACTCCTTGCCTCCACCTTCTCCTGCTCAGGGGCTGTGACCGGAGGGCGGTCTCTGGGGCGAGCAGGGCGGAGTGCAGGGGCCGTCCAGGCGGAACCGGCAGTCTTCGTGGTCCTGGGTCTGTGATTCCAGCGTCAGGGCTCCCGCTTTCTGATCTCGGTTGTGCCTGAGTGTGACCTTGTCACTGCTGTGCCTTCGTCACCTCACGCCACCCCCTGCAACACGTTATTTGAATCTTAGAGTTGCTTGGGCTTCCTGTAAACACTCCCTATTCCTTCCTTCTGTTTTTATCATCTTAACGCCGATAGTGTCTGCCTTCCTGAGCGGCCAGTCCTTGAGGTCGGGTGCCCCGGTG